AATATGGAATACCGACATGAGTTTCGTATGGTATGTATTACCGATGTCCATATTCATTGGAAATAGGACGTATTGGATTAATATTTAGTATTTAGGTAAATGCTATACCAAAACTATAACAAGTAATTTTCCACTCGTAGAGTATAAATTACATTTATGAGTGTGGTTGAAGGTAATTTAAAGAAGGGGAACTTTTAACTACCTATTAACAAATCTTAGGTTAATAATTTACTGGATATTTGTAACTTACCTTGGTTACACAAATAAATTTTATTTTTCAATAAACCTTAGGTATTTAACTTTTAGTATAATTTAACTTAAACTAGTTAAAGAACATTGGATAACTTGACCATCTTTGAATTTATAGCATATAGGTAGTTGAGAATACATTTTAATTAAAATAGGCGGGTAAGATAATAGCAGTGTTAAAATTAATCAAATACTTTATAATATAAACTATTTTCAGTTACTACACATTCCATATAAGTATTATATAATATTATTATTATCTAATCTCTCAATGATAATTTTGATTAAAACTTGCTAGTTTAAAACGCACAAAATTCTGTTATTTTATATTATTATTATTATATTTTTTTTGTGAATATTTAAAAACTTTAAGCCATAGGCACATATTATATCATTAGATTATACTTATTTATAGCAGTTTGGAGTTTTTTTTTTATTCACTTATATTTTCCTTATAATACAATAACTATAAGCTGTCAATAAAAAATCATTGTTACTATTGTAGAAAGTTTAAAAATACATAAATTTCGTAAAATAATTCCATATTTCATATTTATTATAATTAAATAATAAAGTTCAAGATGTTTGAATAAATCGATTTTCATCAATGTATTATTCCTTTTATCGGTGCGTCTAAGCTAGATTATATTTAAGTAAAATTCGGTATGGCGTATTTTACGTGAATGAGAGGGCGGAAATATGAATTACTATTGTGTGCATCCAATTAATCGAAAAATTGTCTTTACTCTCGACTGCGTGAATTATATTATTAGGTGTATCGTGTATATTATAATAGTGATATGCACTAATACGTCATTATTAAGTACCACAATATAATTAATAATTTTTAACTAAAATTATTAACGTACATGCGTTAATATTAATAAAATGTTCTTTGGTACAGCGCTTTTTAAATACGGTCTGTTCGGCCTGTACTCTGAACATTTTACAATGACTTAATGATTTTTAAACACTTGACGGTCTAACACACTCGCGCGGTGAAGGTCAAGAGCAATTTACGAGTATTCGTGCTTGCGTACCCATCAATGAAGATTTTTTAAGTCTGACCGACAACCGCATATAAGCGCAATGCGTGTGCGTGTGTGAGTGGGAGTGAGGGAACAATACACTGTAATAACTCGACTTGTAAGATATTATGTAATACGATTTAGACATTAATGTTATTGGGTCTGCTTTAAAATATATAGATGTAAGACGTTGAAGTGTATACAACAAATTATTATTAAACGTGTGGTTTTTAAAATTAGAAATACGCACCTATACTAATGATTGGTGACCAGATAATACTGCGGAGTGCAGACGCACGTGCATTACAAAGGCCTCTCTTTCATCTCATATTTTCCATCCTAATTATTGGAATGTTTTTAATGTGCAACTACTATACGTCTCTCTTTCTGAAAATGTGTTATCTCTATTATTAGGTATATTATTAAATATTTGTAGAAAATTAAAACTAATTTCCGTCGATTGAATTTTATTTTTGATTCCCCCATTACTTGTTTCGAATCTGACGCAGCATAAGTATAATATTATCCAGAATAAAATTATTCAACGACAGCGAATATAGCTGTAATTAATTTTTTTTTGCCGTTCCCTATTAACATATTAGTCAAAGACATATTTTTTGGCGTTATGCGTCCAATTTATACGCTTGTCTTGTGGCAATGAACTTTACTCAGCAATCATTCGCTAACGTGCCCGTCACACGTTATATATATATTAAGTGTCTAGCTGTGTATACATATTACATGCATTGCGCACGATTTTATTTCCATATTGTTTTTTTGACCCGCGTCTACAATATGTTCATTTTGACAACTTTCAATCGTAATAATTTTCGTCGTGTTATTACTTCTTTATTACTCACACTTGCGATGGACTCCGTTGAACGATAATTTATTTATAGACTTATATAGCCCCATGTGCGATGCGTCACGTGAGCTAACGCCAACGACGTTTTTATACCTACAGCTATTCGAACTCGTGAGTATTATTATAAAATTATAGTTGCCTATTATCATATAGTTTGTCTGCTATTAAAAATCTAGAAAATTATGGTTTTGGAACTCATTTGATTGGATTTTTTCACTTTTTCGTTTACGTTCACAACGACAACACAGATAAATTTCTAATATTGTATGGGAAGGGGGCCTACGTCTTGTTACACGAAATCTAGGAAGGACCTACCTACCTACCTAATTCCTCCTTCTCCTATGTGTAGGTGGAAATCGTCCTGAAACACTGCAGGTGCAACGCCGTCGAAGAAAACGTACAATTATCGCTTTGACTCTAGTCAGCATAATGTACGTAAACATGTGTCAGTTGCATCTACGTATAATATGTATATTGCGCTGCACGTATACCTATATCTTTTTTTTCACAATATCAAATTATGATGCTCGACGTAGGCCTCAGATCATAATATAATAATATAATAATATTGTGTTGTGATGTACTAATGTATAGTAAGCGCGCGCTCCCGTCTTGTGGCAATGAACTTTATCGACCAATCATTTTTATAATATACTCCGACGCCCGTTGTTTGCCGACGTGCCCGTCACTTAGTCGTGTATAATATTATGCTTGACTATTATACATACTCGTACCTATATAGGTACACATTATATTATGTACACTGGTGCAGTGTTGTACAATATGTGTGTGTGTATAAAACGAGTGCACAACACATCGCGTTCAAATAGTAGTAGTAGTACCTGTAGAGTAGTAGTAGAGTATAGTGGTAGTGAATACTGATGCGATTTTTAATATGTCATTATCGAGTGTATTTATAATATTATTGTATGCTATATATGTGAGGCTCCGCAAAGCGCGTGAAAAAGACTTCACCACCGCGATACGTTTTCAAATTTTTTTTTTCGGGTGAGCATCATATTGTCTTAGCATTATTACATCTATTCACCCACTCGACCGAGCGGGGAGACTCAGGCTGCAGTTTATATATATTTTATATATATAGACAGGCACCCCCCCCCACATATTATATTATATATTCCATATTAGATAAACTACCTAGGCACCTAGCTAAATACCTGTTTATTATAATCACACAATACACGTGCATCATCCGTTAATATAAAATTCATAATAATATATAGTGTCGTGCAGCCTACAGCTCAGAGTTATGTGTTCACATAAGTACGATAATTTCTTTTAGAAAAATTTTTATAACTCCAATGTACACTTCCGGTGTAATAACAGTGTGTGGATACTGGTGCAGTGTACACTGATTATACGTATGTATATAAAACGAGCTGACAACACATCGCGTTCAAATAACTAGTAGTGGCAGGGCCGCATTTAGGGGAGGGCGCTGGGTACAACTGCCCCGGCGACCGTATTTTAGGGGCCCCAAAATGTTGTGGTCAGAAATTAGTTTACTTGTGAGTTATTAAAATTGTATGATTTTAATTATTTTAATAACAGTATTATATAATAATATAATTTGGTATAATAGTATTATATATATATATAGTATTATGCTGTTTGACATTTTTTTAATTAATATTAATTTGCATGGATTTATATAATTTTATTTTATTTTATTTATTCATGAAGTACCTACATGCATATGTTAAAAAAAAAACAACTTATATGATGAATTATAAGCAAGGTTTAAGTGACATAAATTCAAATGCATCTTTGCGGGGAGAGAATTAAGCAATTACTAAACAATATTTTTAAAAAAAGCACAATTTGTAAAACAAATATTCTTTTCTGTGCTCAAAATCTAAAAGGTTAATGAGGATCTTTTTCTCATATTTTAAGTGGACAGGCCCTTTAGGGGGGAGCAATTTTTTTCACCGGGGCTTAGGGGGCGCAAAATGTCTAAATGCGGCACTGCCTTATAATAACACAATGACATGATGACTGATGATTGATGAGGGATGCTACCTATAACCTATCTATTTACAAACGTATAGAACTCTTTAATTATATTTAAAATGTATTATACATCTATACTTATACTTAAATACCATATCATCACATAACTCATTGGTTCATTATTGTTATCTATAATAATTAATAGGCTTCTTCAGTGCAACCTATTTGCGCCCATCACACCTTTTTAGGGTTCCGTTCGGTAAAACGGATGCCTATCACTAAGGCTCCGCTGTTCGTCCGTCCGCCCTTCTGTCACTAGGCTGTTTCTCATGAACCATGAAAATTAGAAAGTTGAAATTTACACAGATTATGTATTTCCGTGGATTCTATAACAACAAATACTAAAAATCCTTGTTTTTTTTTTCGATTTAATCAAGGGACGGAGGAGGAATCGAGTTAGCATTTATTCTCCTCAATACTAAAAATCCTAGAATATATAATATAAGCAGTGTTGCCAACATAGGTGATGATGGTACGGAACCCTTCGGACTCGCACTTGGCCGGTTTTTTATAACCCATTTGCGCCCGAAATATTTTTAATAAAAATTCGTTAAAACGATGCAACGTTGCCAAACTGTATTCTGGATATAATGCAATAAGACTTATTACCTTGTACCTAACTAGTAACTTACTATTGTACATATTATTTACCAGTTTTAACTATTTTTAATTTTTACGTTACACTGTTATCGATATTATATTATTATCGAATATCGATCCATTTTATATTAACTGCACTTCAAGACGACTCTCACTTTTCTCTGTTCATGCGTTGTGCTTACAAATCCTTAACTAGAGTATTATACTTGAGTTAAGAATGTATAAAAATGGATTTTAAAATAATAAATACTACTAAAAATCGGGAATGTTTAATTTTTTGTAACTCTAAATTTCACTTTACTAGAAATTTGGCTACGGAAAATATAAGTTGGCGTTGCGTTAAAAAAAATTATAGTGCGTATGTAAAAACGAATTATTCAAAATCAACAAAATCAACACTAATCGATATCAAAGACAGCCATGAACATGAACCAAATACTATTGAAGATTTAAACTTGCTGGAAGTTAGAGGTAAGTGCAAAAGAAAAGAATGCAAGGATTTAAATCTACAGCCAAATAATATAATACGTACGGATCTATCTTCATGTAGTACATCCAAATTCGATGATATTAACAGTATTAGAAAATCTATATACCGTGAACTACGAAAAGTGCTGCCTCCCAATCCTAAATCATTTAATGAGGCAATAGCACAAATTTCCGATTTACCGGTCTTAACAAATAAAAACTAACAATTGAAATTTGTTGATCATGAAAACAACATTATATTGATAACGTGCAAATCTAATTTAAACTTTTTGTGCAATTATAATCCACTCATATTTGGTGATGGTACATTGACTTATAAACCTTCTTATTTTTATCAAGTGTATGGTATACATGGAAGCTGACTCATAAAATAGCTATTACCGCCGACCGTGTCACTGACTAAGCAAACCACCAAGCATCAATTGTAGTATAATTGAGTATAACTAAAGCAACAATTAAAAATAAGAATTTGACGAACATAGTGGAAAAAAATTAACTACTGACAGTTACCTGACAAAGTTAAAGGTCAAAATAGTTGGGACCCCAAGGTATTACTCCCGGGTCCGGATTTTTCTCTCCTAACTATATTACTATTATTTAGTATACCTACATGACTACATGGGTACTACATGGGTAGACAGGTACATAGTATTATAATATAATATTATTAGGAATAGGCCATCAAAATGTTTCATAGTTTTAAATAAATCATTAATTTTTAATCATTTTGAGCTCATATATATTATACTTTAATACCTATGGTAAGTTGGATTCCTTACACAATTAGTAATTGGGGCTAGAATAAGGAATATTCATAATTCCTGTCTACAACGTATTACATAATTTCGTAATATTATAACTTTAATTTTCTTGCATTTCCAAAAATTTCAAATTCATGCATTTAATAATATGAAATAGAGTAGGTATCTTATAATATATTTTATTCAAGCCTATTAAAAATCAACAAAAATCTTTTTGCTATAGATTGTAATAGTACAGCACTATAATAATGTTTTATTGTCCGTCAATACAATATTTCTTATTTATCAGCTAACCAAACTAATACATCGTGCGTGTTGTATTATAATATAATACCAGTTGTCGTGTTTAACGCATCTATATCACAGCTATATAATATTATATTCTCGTATGATCATGATTAATTGCGGAGAAAACCAATCCGTTAACTCGCAGTCGACCGAGACGGAAGTGATGCAAAGAGTATTTGCCGAATTACGCACGGCAAGTTTCCACGTTCCTGAACGGACGCTGTTGCAGTTTAGTCGGTACGTCACCGGACCATCCTCGATTAGCTGCCGATACCGGTCCTTGGAAAACGTCACCGGAGCAGTCGCGATTAGCCGCCGACACCAGTCCGAGCCAAATGTGACCGGACCATCCGCGATTAGCCACCTGCAGTCCACGCCAGCAAACGTCACCGTACTCTGCCTAGGACCAAAATATGCTGAAGCAGACGACACCTCAAGGACGGAACAGCCGCAGGCAGGGAGCAGCCGTAAGCCGTCTGAATCCGAGTCGATGGGCCTCGATCTGGTCGACCTGCAGCCTGCTGCGCCTGTTTACTGGAAAATTCCGCTGCCACCACACCGCACTGGTCCGTCAGTGTCCGTCGACTGTCCCCTTGTACTCATCCCGGGCAACGTTATCGAGGCTCCGGAAGTCCCGCCGCCATCAGATGACCGGACAAGACGAGGAGAGACCGTGCCAGAACTGCCAACCGTTCCCGCGGCGAGTTTTGGCCAGGCAGAACTGGAACCGGATACCGGTGACAGCGACGCAAGCATGGCGGTGGCAGCCATGGACGACCCCGCGGCCAAATCTAAAAAACGCACCACACTTTGGAGACGGACGAAGCGAATCGTCCGTCGCATGTTTTATTGCGGCGTTTGAGCGGTTATCGCTACGTTTGATTTACACGTTATCCAGTCGGCCAACTTTTGAGGTGTCCAACTGTGTTTTTCCGTCGGACAAATCTTTAACTGACTTGTATACTTTGTTTATTTATAGACCAACTTAAATATACGATATTAAAAACGAATTCAACTTTCGAGAAACTCTAACGACAAATTTAGCTTTTTAACGACTTTTTATGTGTGGCTTGTGATGGGACATTTATACACACTTATATTATTATAATGTGTGTGACAACGAATCGACAGGTAAGTTTTTATTTTTACAGTTGAATAAGGCGAAGTACCTAATAACAATGAACCAGACTTCAAAAGTAATCAGTTCCTTATGGCTCACGTGACAAGAGTTGTAAATGATACCATAATATGTACAATTTATTATACGTCTAACTACCTGCGTATATCTGGGCCCGACATATAGTATAAATGTAATATAATTATTATATACATGTGCACATGTACCATGTACAAAATGTGTATATTATATACATGTACACCTAAATACACATTAGTACAATATACACTCATTTATTTTGTAGTCCGTTTAAGTATTAAAATATATTATATATTATTTATAAATATTTTTATTGTTCACTGTTAGTAGCAATATGAATATACGCAAATTGACTAAAATTTTTGGGGGGACTCAAGACCCCCTCCCCATGGACCATATTGCTTAGTACCACAGAATATAAAAATTATTACTAATTACTAGATTTTGAACTGGGGGGACTTGACCAACATTTGGGGGACCAAGCCCCACCTATTTGTGACAGTGTGAATATGATTTCAACTACGAACTAATTATAGTTTTTGTGATTTTAACATAAATAAATAATTGGATCTTCCAAAATACCTACCTATGTGATAGTAGATTAATTCACTATGACACTATGGCATATTTAAATTAGGAAAAATGACTTATGTGAAACCGATTTGGAATCATAATAATATATTATACATGATATTATATAGATAAATAATCACTTTTAGATTCAGAGTGGAGCTATGAATCATGAATGTTCAATGTATTGATTTTACAATGATGTGTGTTTTATGTTTTTATTTGTCTGTCATCACCTTTTACGACAGTAAAAATGCTTTAATTTTCTTCAACAGCTTCTTTTCTGGTAGGAAAGTGAGTCTAGTTGAGGTCAGGGCCACATTTAGGGGGAGGGCGCTGGTTACAACTGCCCCGGGTGCCAACATTTTAGGGGCGCCAAAACGTTGTGATCAGAAATTTGTTTACTTGTGAATTATTAAAATGTAATTATTTTAAATTATTTTAATAACAGTATTAGATAATATAATTTAGTATAATAATTATGTAGTATTATGCTGTTTGAAATTTTTTTAATTAATATTAATTTGCATAGTTTTTATCTTTGCGGAGAGAGAATCAATCAATTAGTAAACAATATTTTTAAAAAAAAGCACACATTGTAAGACAAACATTTTTTTCTGTGCTCAAAACCTAAAAAGTTAATGAGGATCTATCCATATTTTCCGTATGTAGGCCCATTAGGGGTGCCAATTTTTTTTGTCTAAACGCGGCACTGAGTAGCGGTGTAGTGAATAGTGATGTGATTTATAGTAATAATACGTCATTATCGCGGGAATATATAATATTATATTATACTATAAGTACAGAAATCGCTTGAAAAAGACTTATCCACAACAATACATTTTTACATTTTTATTTTCTAATCGGGCCATTGTCTGCTGTCTGTGGAGGCCTGGCATTTACCACTAAGGTGGTAACGTCTGTACACGGAAACGATCCAACAGCGAGGGACTCGGGCTGCAGTATATAATATTATACTATATAGGTAGGCAAGTACCTACATTATAAAATATATATATATTCCAGATCAGATAAACTACCTAGGTAACTATATAATATTATAGTCGCATCACAATACTCGCACATCATCCGTTAATAATACATAGATAATACTATAATGTCACGCCGCCGCAAGCTCTCAGAGTGACGTATTCACACATACGTTAATACTCGCGGGCAATTTCTTTTCGAGACATTTCTATAACTCCGATGCACACTTCCGGTATAACAGTGTGTTTGGATACCCACGCACGCACGCACGCCCGGCGATAATTGGCAACAAGTCAACGACGACGACTACGACGACGGTATTAAAAAATGACATAGCACTGCGTAGTAAAAAAACGCACTGGAATAGAATGTGTGTGTGTGGTTGACCTTTTTTTCTCTCTCTCACAGTCCCCCCCCCCACTTAACCATCGTCCTGGACACCGCCGTAGTGTTATATAGTCTCGTGCGTATATGTACGAGATATATAATAATAATTATGCAATGAAGAAAAAGGGTTTATGTACTAAACAACACTCCTCTGCGTTATCGTCGCCGTCGTCCGCATGACGGTGAATTATATTTCTCTCACGTAACTCATACGTATTTTTCTTTTCTTTTTTTTTTTTTGTTGAAATTTTCAATTACACGTTTCTCATAGGCGGTGGCGGCGCTGCTGCTGTAGATATGCGCGACAACAGGATGCCAGCAGGAATCAGAATATGCCGCGTTCAATATAATAATATTATAATGGTACGAAAATATCGTTGTGCGCCATTCGTCATTACAATATTGTAATAATAATTTATACGATATCGATAACGGTGTTTCTCGTCTGCGCGTATAATATAAATTATTATTTTTAGGTAAGGCATAATGTTATATTATCCGACCGTCGTCGTCCGTCATTGTCGTTCGGTTTTTGAACTGAAATGATATTATATTATTCTTTGTGGCTGCAATCTCTCTCTCGCTATTCGGGTTTACCCTAAATACATATAGTATAGCATAATGTTCATAATAATAATAATGAATAATATACGCAAAACGGGCCGAACGTATAATGATAATATCGCATATAGTTAGGTACTTATAATATTATTAAGCATTAAAGTGTTCGGCGTCGCTGGGAGAAAATTGGAAACAATGCTCGTTCCGACCTCGCCGCGGTGACAGCCATCGGCACAATACGCGACTATTACATAATATTACGCACATGATTATTCGGACGATGGGAGAGAAAAGCCTCGACCATAACAATACTGCTTGCACCTTTAAATACTGATCTACATTATAATGTTCAGCAGGTGGCTGTAATGATGATGACTAACGTCGTAACTCGGTGGTAACAGTGGTTCGTGAACAAAATTGGGCCCAGGAAAACTATATTCCGTAGCTAGCTGGTATTTGAATCAGCTATTATTAATGACGTAATCTATTGTAATTATTTAATTGTAATTGATTTGGCTGAATAAATAAATAAAATAAAAAATATTCTCTAAGGGTTAATCCTGCAGTGTACGTTTAGTGACTTGTTCAAACTTTTCCACAGTGCTGGTTTATTTTGGAGTCTTATAAAACTTGTTTCCTTCAAATTATTGTTTACTAGTAACAAAATATATATTGCAGTATTGCACTTAATATAAACAGAATACGGGGGGACGAGGTGGCCGAGCGGTCTAACGCGGCGCTGGCAGTCGCGGGCTCTATTCTCGACCACCGGGCGGCATTTTTCTCCGGGCAAGTCACGGTGTCCGGAAAACAAGTGCCACCATCCCCCTACTCCGGGGCATGGCAGAAACCTACGGGTGCCCCAATAAAAATTCTGCCACCAAAAACACACACGTGTAACAAATCTACAGTACCCTCCCCTACAGTACCACAGGCTAATGACCTGAGTTGTCGAAGCCTTAACCCTAATAAAAAAAAAAAAATAGATAAATAAACAGAATACAATATACAATTTAAAAAAATTTAGTTACATCATTTTTTACAGTTTTTTTTATCTAATAAATCACTTTTGTTTTGAAACCATCTAAATTCATAGTATTAATGTTTCCAACATTATTTGTACCAACAACCCACTACCAACCGTGGTCGACCCAGAAAAGTCCCGATATCCCGCCGCCACTGTTCAGCCCCAAGGTACACAAATGCACTTATATTACAATATGATAATATATATTACGTATAATAATGCACATTTAAAAGCATTTCAGTTTTTATTTATAATTTCATATTATGTATACTTTATTCATTATTGTGTTGATTAATTAGTTTTTACGATGGCTTATAAAATGAAAAGTCTACACGAATGCGGTTGAATATAAAATATTTGTATTCGTTTGGTTTCACAAATTATTTCCAGTTTGGTACCTATTTATAAAAGCATTTTCCAAGTCAGAACTATACAAACAACTTTAGACAATATTCAATGCTTATAGCAGAGCATATGCCAGTTAAAATGGATAAATAGGTATATATTAAGATGACTAAGTTCACTGGTCAATTTTGTTCAACAATCGTTTGTTATATGTTTATTTGTATATTGTTATATGTTTCATTATATGATGAGTGAAAACCATTTAGGGGCACCGTTTGATCTAACCAGAGTACTCCTGTGATGATGATAATAATAATATAATTAATGACTGATAGACATATTATTTTAACATAAGAATATTGTTCCATACAATCAGGGAAAAATTAAAATATAATAGATAAAATTCGTAAAAAAAATCTATGGCTATCCTACGTTGCAAGATGTGTACTCTAATTAAATGTTTGACCAAGCAAAATGTAGGTTTATGACTAGACCCTCTTACCAACACTCTCAGTCACTCTATCTCACTCTCTCTCTCTCTCTCTTTCTCTCTCTCTCTCTCACACACACACACACACACACACACACACACACACACACACACCCACATACATCTATACTACAATCGCCCCTAACGGGATACACAAGAAATCATCTTTAGTCTCGGTGGGTTAAGACAAATACGAATAATTTCGAAACATTTATACGTGGGCAAAGTGTTCAGCGCGTGTCATTCTACTTTTGTCATAATTCATAACACATGTACAATATATTATAATTATTTTACTACGTATATAGTGTTATATAATATTCATATATATATATA